GTCTGATTTCTTTTTAAAAAATGCGTTTCTAAAGTGCATGAACTTTTGGGATTGACTGTATAGCCAATACATCCTTAAATAAATAATTGATTAAATTATTATTATTATGAATTATGCATTAGAAAATGTGATGACAGTACCAACGTTCCTTTAAAACAATCGTTTTCCTCGGAAATTAGAGTGACTGAATGTAGTCGCTGGACCCACTTAATTATTCAGACTCGTTACCGTGAAATAGTTAAAATTCATTCGAAGGAGTGCGGGAACTTTGTAACTCGAGCTATGACAATTGATCAAAGTTCAACGGGCACGCAAGGAATAGTTTCTCGTTGCACCACCATTCTCTCCTAACGTACTGGCTGATTCCAGAAATCGTTCCACTACGTATAATGCTTTCATGGTTGAAGTTCTTTACCATCAAACTCTAAATAATTCACAATTTACAATACTGAAACTTCTATATAGCTTCCTAAATTAGTAGAAGTGAAATAATTCAATATCAAGTAATTCTGACATGAAGTTCAGTAAATTTTTTTGCGTCATACATAAATAATAAATTGGCATTTAAAAATTAATTTTATATAAAAAGAAATTTAAATTTTGTCACGAATTACAAATAATGAAGTGTAATTGCTTATGAAACGATTGGAATCCCAGATACAAGTACTGGCGAAGTGAGGACTCAAAGCAGAATTATTCTGAGTGTATGAGATCAGGAATATTTTCTATCTATGGTTCGTATTCTTGACACCTGCGCTTGAAATTCATAGGCAATTCGAATAAGCGATCAAAAAGGAGCATCTGAATTATCATAAATTCCCAGCTCCTTATATCTTTAAACTACGCTCTTGGACGAATGGAAGCGTTCGATCATACAAACTGATTTCTGATTCAAAGAATTGCTTCATTCCTACATACATAATTTATAAATGCGTGTATTACGATTCTTATTAATATTTAAACTAATTCTTTAAGAAGTTAGATGAACCGATTTATTAGGTGAAAAAAATGAAAAAGAAGAAAATTGAATATCATACAAGATCTGTTTTTCTCAAACATCGAAGTTTCATGTGGACTGTATCAATGGCTCTTTATTCTGTCCCTTATTTGTATTCTAGGAAATCATTTTCATCTCATTTGGATTCACTTCAACCGTGCCATTTTACGAAATCACTGTACTCGGACCCGGGAAATTGCTAGATTACAGAAATTCCAGGCTAGCCGCTGGCCAACTACCATGCATTCTAGTACCCTCTCTTACATTCCTATCGAGCAATGCTACGTATGAATAACAATCATAGCAATTAATGACTCATGCTTTCTAATGCTTATTAACATACACGATGACTTAGATACTTCATCTTTTCAGGATACATATTAATGTTCAAATATAGTTAGTTATAATGATTAAAACCAAATAACATCATAATGTTTGTCATATCGATATTAAAGTTTCCGTATTGAAATCATTAAGGAAACAATACATAAGAATTCTTTTCTGTCTTCTTTTAACTTTAGTAAAAGAAAATTTCGTCAATTTCTCAATAGCAAACGGTACGATTCATCCTGGAAATAATAAAAAATTCGCGTGGATGCGAAGAGTTTTCAGGCGTTTGGAAATGCAAGGGCTCGCAGATGGAAAATATGATAGGCACATGGCCCTCCTTCATACGAATTCTGATCGAGTAACATTCCGCTCGATTTCAAGCTGCATTCATGCCCGTATCTGATCCCGGTCTCGGCAAATAGGCAGGCAACCACGCCGCACGAGGCCACGCAGAAATCGCGCTGGCAAATTCTCGAGTTTATCCGCGATAGAAAAAAAAAAAATGTGGAAAAGCTTCGGCCGGGACAATTGGTCACATGCATGAGGAATTTCGGTAGAGGCGCGCGCGTGCCACGGTTACTCCCCGGGTCGGGGGTTTCAATACCGGAATCGCTTGCCGTAAATTGCAGATTCCCCCGGATTTTTCGCTCGGACCGGCAAATAGAACTTCGTTTCTAGTTTACCCCGTAAGAGACCGGCGATAAGGAGTGCGCCGACCGCAAGACGCTCACGGAGAAACCCGAACAGCTCTGATCGACGCTTACGGGGGAATACTTTCGGAACAACTTGCGCCACGTAATACCAAATGCTAGTCTAGAAAGATAAATGCACGTGCCGAGTTAATGGAGTTTCGTGTTCTCCCGGCTTTTTCTCGTTTGCTCGGGAAAAAAGTAACGGTCGAATAGAATTTTTTGCGCCGAGAGAAAGCGTCGGGTTTAACAAATACAGGATCGTCATTTTGATAAAGATATTGTTTGAATCTTAATTGTATAAATTAAATGCTATCTTCCAC